ACCTTTTACCAATACTACAAGCAGAACAACACTTTTAAAAATCCTCTTCAGATTTCTCTTTCTTTAAAACGATCACCATAGAATCGTGTGGATGTATCCCACACTGCTTCTGCCACTCCGGATGATTTCTCAGTGTGAAAAACAGATCTGTATATATTATGTCATTTACCTTCCCTTTTATAAAATAACATTAATTGCAAGATGGTGTTATCATGCAGTGTCCCATTCCCTGGCCATTTTTCCCCACTTTCCAAGGTATACTTTGGCCACCAATGATTGCAGTACTCAATCAATTTCTTCCGAGTCAAAGGATCACCCCCCAGATCTTTCCAGTGTTTCAGAATACATCCCAAAGGTGTACCCCGTGGGATGGGCTTTTTACTCAGAAATGTGCCCATCTCCCGAATGACCAGTGGTTGTGATTGTGCACTGTATCACAGGCACTAGTCAGAGGGACCCCAGCTCTTGTGGGAGCTCCCTCTCGGATCACAGCTCCCTGCCGGAATCTTGAAGACTTCAACCCCCCCAGCTGAAGACTCCCCCCTTGGGGCCCACTCCACCGGCTTTCACCGAGCAGAGACTTTCCAACCCTGCGTGGCTTTCACTGCGACTTACGAGCAGCCTTTAACCCACGTTACTTATTAGAAGAATGCCTTAATTTAATTCCAGGGGACTTACTTGGAATCCTTCGGTCCGGGGATCAGAGGTTCTCCTCAAGAATCCCTCGATGCCTGCTGGAGGTCCCGTGATCCCGCGGATCCATCGGTATTCACAAGCAGGGTCCCATCTGGGTCACCAGAAACTGTCACCAAAAATCCATGAATAAAACCTCGTAACACCGATGTAGTGTTAAAAGGCAGGCATTCTTTATTGCATCGCTGGATGCACGGGGGATAATTCCACCGAACGTGCATACCTCATACCTTTTCCACGCAGTTTATATAGATCAAAAATATGCATATTTGTTTTATTCATGCATATTCAATATTATTCTCTTTGGCGATTGGTGTAAACTTTTCTCGCTTCTTACGTAAATGGTTGCACAGACTCAGTTACCCTCTTCCATTGTTCCTTTTTGGGTAGGTGGTATTACTTGAGTAGGGGGTCTGTGAGTCGGTGGTTGCGATCTGCCCCTGCTGGAATTACCTTTTGTCCACTAGGCTCGCAATCTTGGCAAACCTGGTCAGTCTCTTCAGTCCGTTTCACAGAACCACACTCCATCATTTCTCTTGACAAAACCACAATTACCTACTATGGTTAGCGTTAATGGTTACCTAGAGAATAGACCCTCCGTTCCCAGACCTAATGTCCAGGTGGGTCGGGCTGTACCAGGAACATAGCAGCATTGTTCATGTTTATGGTTAACTGATTCTATCTCCCTGGTTACAGTAAGAAGAAACAATTTGATGACCGTGGAGCACAGTGATCTCAATTTACACACAGTTCAGAAGCTCTCACCTGCTTTATCAAGGCATCCTACCCCTGCCAAGACAAAGTCTTTACTGGAAAAAAGGAAAAGTCAGTCCTGCAATGTTCCGCCAATGTCTGGGATTTTTTGTGAGGTCTTCAACAGCAAACACCTAGATTTGAGATGGACCCACATACACAATAGCAGTACTGAGCACTTACTCACCAGAACCTGTTCAATTATTACCTCAAAACAGAACATCAAACATCCAGATGTGACAGAGGATGACCACCCACATGAACTAGATGTGAGCAGGTTGGAGATAAGAGTCTGAACTCCATGGCTTTTTCCTGCTCCTCCTTTCCCACTACACACTCAGACATGCATGAAGTCTGGTACTTCTCTAACCCCTTCATAATCTGATTCAGCTCACTAAAGCAATGGAAAACTAACACAGCGGAAGAGTTAATAATTTTCCACCTGTTTAATGAGTTAAATCAGCTCATCAACGGCTTAGATAAGGGCCAGAGAACAAAAGAGACTGTGAAGTTTGAAGCACAGAGGGAAATGGAGCAGCAGGACTGCCTTTTTGGGTGGCACCAACTTGGTACATGGATTCAAGTATGTTTCTTGTTACCTACTTTTCCTGACTCATTACAACACTACATCCATTTTCCCTAAGAGCTGTTGCCCCTGA